TAGTTTAAATTCAAGGGAAAAATCCACAAAATATGTAAGTGCACACAAATATAGAACCATAATGTGAGGATTTTCAAAAGTATTTACGAAACTAGCAATGGCATTTAAAAAAGTATAGAAGTATGCTTCTGCAGGAATTATGTGATTACCTATGCAGTAAAGTAATATTAATTCTAGTCTATTTTACATTTGTTGATTATTTTAAGACATATGAAATTTGTCAAAATGATTGGGTGAGGCTACTTTGGTGTTAACAGTACAATTTATATGTCAGTGATTATGATTTTGAGCTTTAAAACTTACTCTAACAATTGGATGGCAGAAATATCTCTGATAGGAATGACAATAAACAGACAGACTAATAAATTTGTAGTTGACAAAATCTGAATTTTCTTTTATTACAATTAAACAAAGATAACAGTTTTGAATTTTTTAAAAAACTTGACATTTAAAATATCTGGAATTTCCTAATATCTATGTGCTTAAGTAAATGCCACTATAAAGTCAATGGTCTTTCTTTTCTGATAAGACCTTCATGGAATTCCATGAGTGAGAGAAAACTGTATAGTCACTTCTAAAGCTCATGGAATGTTAAAAACTGAAGCCACAAAAATTCATTAACATACAGTGAGACTTGCAGTTTCAAGTCTGACATGTAAAGAGAATGTGAGCTGTCACTCTTATCCTTACAACAAGAAGACCACTGAACAAATTGAGGATCAATAAATCTTCTTAGATCCATCAGAGAATTGAGGTCACAGGGTGAACTACAGAGACAATAGTCTTAAAACTGCAGAGACAGTAAAATACATAAAATGAGAACAAATGGAGAGCAGAAGCCACTGGAGCCAGTTACTGGTAGAAACAATTAACTAGTAATTGATGAAATAAATACTATAGGTTAAGTGGGAATTGAGAGTTAAAAACTCTTGAGAGTCCAGTCTTAGAGATGCTTCACTTTTTTTGTGAGTTTTACTTTCAGGAGCCTCATCAGGTAATCATAGTGAAGAACAGAAAAAAATCCTCTGTGCTTCAGGGATAAGGAGAGGCAAAATAACCCTTTTGAAATACACCTAGAGTATTCTTCACAACAAAAAACTAGGCATGCGTGTACACACACACGTGCACACACACATACACACACACACCATTACCAGAGACTTTCCTGACAGCTGGGAGAAGGGAAGCACTCAACTAAAGGCCAATCTAGATTTCTTGTTGGACATAAAGGTGTGGGGGGTTGCTGAGAAGCACTTGTGAGGGTCACAGTCCATGAAAGGATGAGACTTGATAACAGGATTTTAGAACCTCCACCCCCAGTGCCTTTCTGGTATATCAACAGGGCTTCTATATAATAATAGTGGCTTACAGCTAAAAGAACTACAAAGATTAAGAGAAATTTCTAGAAAAACAGAAGAGACAAATACAAGAAAATTAAAGAAACTGAAAACCCATGACAGTACAGCTATAGCAAATGTTAAACACAGCCTAACAGTCAGATAATATCCAAAAATCTGACCATACCAAATGCTGTCAAGAATGTGCAGCAACAGGCACTCATGTTCATAGCTGGTGAGAATGCAAAATGCTGCAGGCGCTTTGGAAGACATTTTGGCATTTGGCTTTTTTTTTTTTTTACATTGTTTTACCATACAATCCAGTGATCACACTCTTAGATATTTACCCAAATGAGGTAAAAACTTGTGTCCACACAAAAACCTGCACATAATTTTTCTTAGCCATTTTATTCCTAATTGCCAAAAATGGAAGGTAACCAAGATACCCTCTAATAGGGTATAATGGGTAAACAAAATGTAGCATATCCACATAATGGGGTTTTGCTCAGCATTTAAAAATAAAGAGTTATTAAGTCACCAAAAAGCATGGAGAAATCTTGAATATATATGGTTAGGTCAAAGAAGCTAATCGGTTAACAATTGCATACTGCCTGACTCCAACTACATGACATTATGGAAAAGGCAAAACTATAGACAGTAAAAAGATCAGTCATTGCTAGAGTTTCAGAATAGGGAAGGCAGGATGAATAGGTTTAGAATAAGGGATTTTTAGGGCAGTGAAACTATTCTGTATGGTATTGTACTGACAAATGTGTGACAATATGCATTTATCAACACCTATAGAATTGTATACAACAGCAAGTGAATCCTAATGTAAACTATGGACTTCAGTTAATGCAAATGTATTAATATTTGCTCTTTATTTTTTTGAGACATGGTCTGGCTTATTGCCTGGAATGGAGGACAATAGTGTCATCTCGGCTCGCTGCAACCTCTGCATCCTGGGTTCAAGCAATTCTCCTGCCTCAGACTTCCAAGTAGCTGGGATTACAGATTAATTGAGAGAAATCTACCACAATAATGCAAAGTGTTAATAACATGGGAAATTACTGGGGAGAAGAGATACACAACAATTTTCCATATGCTCTTTCTTTTTTTGGGGGGAGGTAAACCTAAAACTGTTTTAAACTTAAAGTTTAGCATTATTATTTGTAAAAGCCTCAGGTAAAAATGAAACTTATTTTCACATTATTAATATTAAAATCTTGCTATTTATAAAACAAAACTCTATAGGACCCTTAATCTTGATCTAAAGAAAGTGTGTGATACAGAAGAAAAAGCCCAATAGTCACAAATATGGAATAGTCATTGTTTTGGGAACTCTTTGTGACACAGAAATGCCAGATCTACATTTGTTTTCAGTATTTCAGAGTATAGCAGCAGTATGTCTGTCTGCATATCTGCGTATCTGCCCACATTCTTTTTGTTTGACATTATATCTGTCCAAATTCTGAGGGCCAAGATAAACATTAAAAAATGGTGCTTATCTGAGATCTACTTTTTTTTAACATTGACTCAAATATTTTGTAACTCGGTCTGTACCCATTATTCATGAAGAAGAATGAGGTTTCAGGGCCATCTTGCCTATTGTTGTTGTTTTTTTTTTAATCAGTAAGTAAATTCTTAACGTTAGAAAGATTTTCTAAGAAGAAGTGTGTATTGAACTTCTGTGGTTGCCAGAATTACATGAGTCAGGAGCATTTATGACATCTCTGCAACCAATTGCGTAGAAGTGAAAAACAGATGTCTTGAGGTTAAATCTGTTTATATTAAATCTGTTCATATTAAATTACCTTGTGCTCATTTTCTGATTAGAATAAGAATGTTTTTGCTAATCAATAAAGGAGACTGCATAGATTATTGTCATTAAAAAAATTAAGGTAAAGCCATGTCACAAGGTTAAAAATTCTATTATCTGTTAAATTTGTGTGCATATATATATATGTATACACACACACACTTAATTTATGTGTTAAATTTGTGTGTGTGTGTGTGTATATACACACTTAATTTTATGGGTATACTGTAGGTGTATGAATGATTAAATTTGTGCATTTAATGATAAAACGTTTTCAATACACATTTTATTTAACTCAAATAATATGACTAACTGCATAAAATCAAGTAAAATCAAAATCTAAATTTGGAAACCTGTTTCCTGTTTTTCTACCTTGATTTTCTATTATAAAAAGCCTATTTTTCAGAAACCACCTAGCACTTTTTATTTTGCATAAGACTAGATATTGCTTTCTGTAAAAACAATGGTCTCCTTAACTTCTTATATTTCTTGAATAAATCAGCCACTTTAATTCAGTAAACACATATTCAGTGCCTAGCCTACTAGATGCCAGAAAGAAATGCTAATTACAGAGTAAAACCTTTTTTTTTCAAGCTACTTATTATCTAAAAAGTACTTTGGACAAGTAATCATTGATTATAGCACAGTAGAGTAACTGCTAGTTAGGAGAAAGTGCCAAGTTTAAAAGTCACTTAGGGAAACACAGAGTCTCGTAAAAGTCAGACAGTCTCTCAAAGGAAATGTAATCTAGTTGTAATTAAGAGAGAAATAAGAAGTAACCAGGTTGGAGGTATTGATGGTATGGAACAAAGGAGAATTTTCTTAAGTGAAGACAGAGTAAGTGCAGAAAAATGAAAAGTAGTGTACTTGTGGATTCCACACACTCCTGGCCATTTATTTTTCTAATCTCTTGTCTAAATTCCAAGTGTTGGTAGGTACCATTACCTGAAAATTTCATGATATGCCATTTTGTGATTGGGAACAGAGAGAAGTCAGGATTCTGAAATAATAATCGAAAGGTAAGTGATGTTTACATTCTTTCTTTAGCTGTCATCTGCTTTTTAAAATTTTCATGTCTGCTTAAGATCTAAAGGCAAAGATTTTAAATAGGTGATTTCCAATTGACGTGTTAGAACACAACCCAAATACTACAATAGCTCCTTTGGCAGGTCTTAGTAAACAGAGCAAGGTCTGACTGAAGGTGCGCGCTGTCCTGTTTCTTTCCTGTCATTGACTTCTTTCTCCTCACTCCAGTAAGTTTATTCTTTTGAAAGTTAGCCATAGTCATGTTATCATTTATCAGTGACTGAATAAGGGATTCTCCCTTCCCAATCTCTTTTGTGTTTAGCTCCAGGCCTCTTCTTTCTCGTCTTTTCCTTAACTTTTCTTTCTCCTTCTTACCAAACCCCTGACGGCAGACTTAGGAATTTGAATATGAGCCAAAAAAATACATGTAGGAATTTGAATATGAGCCAAATAATTAAAAAAAAAAAACAGCAGAATATTTCTACATCCCTATGAATGAACAGGATTCTGTGTGGTTACTGTAGCTGCAGGTATGTATTAATACCTACGTTAATTATTGCGTCATGGACTTCACAAAGCCAAGCCCCTCAAGTTAATCTCCGCCTCCTTTTCTGGCATTCAGAATATAAACTCACCAGAAACATTCCAAATGCAGAAGTGGTTCTCATCTTTTTTTTTTTTTTTGCAGCTTAAGATCTCCCTTGGTATTTGAAGAGATCTCAACTAGATAAATTTCTTTCACAGGATCATCTAAACAGGTTGTACTTTTTGTTATTAATATGAATACTTAGATTTTAGATATAGAAAATATAGAATGCAAATTATGTATTACAAAGCTGTTAAAAATAAAATATGGAAAGACCAAAGTGTTTGTTGATACTTTAGTTATTTAATGATATAAACATTTAAAACCTTTTAAAATAACTTCTTAAAAATAGTATATTTATGTGGTGTTCTGTTGCTTACTGCTTTAATGTAAAACTACAGTGGTATTGCTACCTTAAAAGTGCTGAATGCTGGACATGTTTTCCGTTTTACTGATGAGAAAATAAAGCAAGCAGGGTAGAGACATGTAGAATAGAGATTGAGGGTGAGGACTATGAGAACCTTATGTATCTATATCCACCGTATTGCAGCACTGACCACAGGGCCTAGGAACAGGTAGACATTCACACAGGGAGTATTTGCTAGATAAAAGGCAGGTTGGAAGATGCAGGAGGGGAGTACGCAGAATGGGAGGAAGAAAAGGAGAGAGGAAAGATAAAATTCTGAGTTTAATTTTTTTTATGTATGTAAAGAGTTAGAAGTTTAATTTTTAACATTTTTTTATTGATGTTTCTTTCTGAACGACTGACCTACGTACTTATGATATGAAACTGACAATTTCTAACTGAAATACATCTTTTGAGAAAAAGGGGAGCACATAGAAAGTAAATCCATACATTGCAATATGAGACAATTTAGCAAAAGGAATAAAGTGAGAAAAGATATTTTATTACATGCCACCTATTTTGCCTCTCAGACCAAAATTGACTATGAAGGGGTAGCTGGGAGTCAGCCAACTGCTTAGTGATACATCTACCACTCCCAGATGACTATAAGCCAATTCTTACAAACTTGGCTGAAAACCAAGAAAGTAATTCACATGAATAAACAAGTCAATAAGCAGGACAAGTGGTGGTGCCTTTTATACACATTTCTTACAGTGAAAGATCTATTTTCTGAGACTAAGGAGAAAGCTTGGGTAACAAGAAATTTATTGATAGACTAATTTGTATTTTGGAAATAGAAATCATATGATTTTGATGACATTATATTTTATATGACCTAGAGGAAGTTTTTAGAAAGATTGAGATTACCCTAAGGGCTAGGGTAATTATGTGTGTAGAAGAATTTATCAGGCAGCTCTTTGGGCAAATGTGAACAGGAGGAAAACCTAGGAAGGCTATTGTCAGGAAGGACAAAACGTGTTGAGAAGCTGTCATAAATTCAAAATAAGTTAAGTTTGGCAGTTGAAAAACTATACTAAAGGAATTTGAAAGCTAATGAAAGAAAGTTTGCTTAATTAAAAATTCTGTTACTAACCCTGAACATGAAATAGATTGTCATGGGATCAGGAGATGAATTAGGAAATGATAACCATCTTGCTTAAACTTATAATGGGAGTATCCAATACCTTGTTGATCAAATGGGGAAAAAAGTAATTTTAAAGGTGACAAAGGAATTCTTTATACTCTCAAGATTCCGTCACAATGTCATTAATTGCATCTTCTTTTCTTTTAAATATATTCACCAAGCATTTGGATTATTTTCATAAAATGATACATATTCCAAGAACTTAAAAATCTCTGACTTAGATATCTGGCAATAATAATTAAAATAATAATAATAAAGAAATCAAATCTTTATTGTTATTTAATGTATACATAATCGGATAATTTACTAAAATATTGTAATTCTGGACTTCTTTGTCTTTTTATATGCCCAGCAATTTTTAAAGTAATTGGAGGCTCTGTGGTTTTCATTTATCATAGAAATATCAAGTATATCCACATTTTAATTTAGTTTTAAGCATTTTACTTCATAATCACTTGTGCTTTCCTATTCTTTTATGTGTCAGACATCTTTCTAATACAGTTAAAAAAATGAATCTAGAAACCATCATTCTCAGCAAACTGACACAAGAACAGAAAACCAAACACCACATGTTTTCACTCATAGGCGCGTGATGAACAATGAGAACACTTGGGCACGGAGAAGAGAACACTTGGGCACAGGAACGAGAACAACACTCACTGGGCTAGGTGTGAGGGTGGAGGGCAGGGAAGGGGAGGGATAGGGAAGGGAGGGGATGCAGGGAGGATAGGGAGGGATAATACCTAGAGAAATGCCTGATGTAGGCGACTGGGGGTGGGGGGAGGGGGTAGTCGGATGGAGACAGCAAACCACCGTGGTATGTATCTACCTATGCAGCAATCCTGAAGGATGCTGGATGTGCACATGTACATCAGAGTCCAAACTACAATTTAAAAAAATTCTTTAAGCACCAAAACTATTTCATGTGTAACTTCATTGTTTTTCCCTGCCCTATATGTGCAACAACTAAGAAGTGCTAGATACGTAGGAGGGTATTACTATATATATAGTTGTTAATGGTGAAATATTGTTAAATGCATACAAAGTATAAAGCACTTTTTTTTTCAGTGTATCACAATGAATTCTGAACTTGACTATTATGAAAAGTTTGAAGAAGTCCATGGGATTCTAATGTATAAAGATTTTGCCAAATATTGGGATAATGTGGAAGCGTTCCAGGCAAGACCAGATGATGTTGTCATTGCCACCTATCCTAAATCTGGTAAATGTATTTGTTACTCTTTCTCACCTAAAAATAAAAAACTCACCCTAAATGTTAAGGTGGTCACATCATACACACTCATTCTCTATAGGCAGTAGTTTTGATATAGACATAGAAAAGATTGCTCTATTCCCTGACCACAATTTGTACCTATAACTTGAATAGCACATTGACAAAGGGATGTTGTTGAGCACAGTTAGAAACCAAAACCAACGTAATGTGTAGTAATGAACCTGTATTCATCCCATAATGAAAATTTAAAACTACCAACTGTTTACCTTATGCCATTAATGTTGTTGTATATACAGAGTAGGACCACCATTTTTTACAGATATTTTTAAACTCTCGTTCAGCTCACCAGCTCTTTAGTCTATCCATAATCATAGTTTTGGAGTTTTACAACTATAGACTTTTAGAAATTAGACTAGTCCAAATAAATATTTCTCTATCTGGTTGTTCTATTTACTACTTACAAATAAAGTGAAATACTAAATATACCCTTGGTTACCTTGACTCTAAATCTGCTTCTTGATTTTCTTCCCTACTGGAATCAATGGCAGCACAATACCAGTTATCTGAAGAGAAAACCTGTGAGCTATTCTAAGTTCAATCCTTCTTGCTTCTTCATCTGCCATTTGTAATCAATCAAAATGTTTTGGCCCTTTAGTCTGATAGAAATGTCTCACAGATAGCCTCTTAACAGGTCTCTTGTCCCCCTTCCCACGGATCCCTCACTCCACTACTGTGTTTATTCTAGTCCTAGAGAAAATCTTCTAAAACACAATCCTGATAATCTTGCTCTTCTGCTTAACGTATGCCAATATTTTTCAGTGCTTTTGTTAAAGACAACTTGGACTCTTTAGTATTAACTACAAGCCTTTCTATATCTGCTTACCTGAGCCCCAACTCCTCTCTTCAGATAGACTCTTTGATTTAGGTCTTATAGTCTATTTCCAATTATTTTCCTAACCACTATACCATTCTTAAGTACCATCTTTAGATTAAAAAGAGAGACTGGGCTTCTGCCTGGTAGAACTGTCTCTTACCTCCCACAACTGGTGAATTCGTGCCAGTAATTATTAAGGGTAAGCTCAATGATCACATCCTCTCAAAAGCATTTCTTGTTAGAATATTATGGCAGCAGCAACAACAGTGGCAGCAGCAATACCAGTAGCAGCAGCACACTGAGTTATATATTCCTCCTTAGAAGTTATTTAAATCTCTGTGCCATCTTATACAACAGCATCTTAATAAAAACAGAAAGTATTGTCACTACTGAAAAATGTCACTGACTTTCCAAAGGGCTTTAAGCTCCCATAGGACGGGAACCAGATTTATCCTTTGCTAAGTTTTCTGACCTAGGATCCAAGCTGAGACTTAATATGCCATCAGTAAAATTTTTGATTGAAAGCATGTTTTATGCACCACCTAATATTAAAGCCTTCTTAATTTTTAGATATAAAAATTAAAGTCCAAAACTGTTGTCAGCTTATACAATGTCACAATTCATCATGAACAAATTTGGACACAGGTCTCAGGTGTGCCTTACTATAATTTTTATCTTTATCTCTTGAAGTTATTTTTGTGTCCTAAACATAAAATATTATAGAAAATATTCTTGAATCTGGCTATTCAGACACCATTTAAACAGTATTGCATTGGTTCCTTTCTACTTTATCCATCCATAAATTCAGCACTCCTGTCATCAACTCTACATGGTCAGCAGGAGACTCAGGTTTATTTAATTTTTACAGGCACAACCTGGGTTTGTGAAATCGTGTATATGATCTATAAAGAAGGTGATGTGGAAAAGTGCAAAGAAGATGTGATTTTTAATCGAATACCTTTCCTGGAATGCAGAAATGAAAACGTCATGAATGGTAATGTTCAGGTTTATTTTAGAAACTATTTGCATATATTCTAAGGTGCGTATTGTAGATGGTACAAGCAATGAAATTATAAGCAATAATGGCAATTAGTATAAGGTCTTCTACATAAGAGAGCATATAAATTTAAATTTAAATCTTGACAGGCTTTGTAGTATTGCATATGGATAGCATGCGTCTGGAATAGAGTGAATAAAGACAATTCTTGTATGCCTTCAGCAGAGTTTAGTAATATGTAAACATTTATTTCTCTGTGGGCTGAATGTGATATTTTAAATATTGAGACAATCCTAATAAATTTTTCAATGATATGTGCAAAAATATATTTACCTCAGATTCTTTTAATATTGTGGAAAATTAGAAACAACCGAAATGCAAATCAACAAAAGAATAGTTAAATATTGTATAACAGCATAAAATTGTTAAAAGTTTTTGGATGTTTCCTGATATTGCAGTATAAATATAATATACTGAGAGAAAAAGACAATTAGCAGCTATGAAAATGTTTATCTGTGTGCATGGTGTTGCAATGTCTGTAAATTTGAGGATATAAGTAGATTTGCACAGAAGGTTGATTGGCAAAATATTAATGATTTCTCCCAGGTGATGATATTTTATTTTATCTTGTATTTTTCTCTGTAGTTTTCTCTATCTGTATTTCTTTCTTTCATAGTGTTATTATGAACACAATACAAATTTTTTTTGATTTTTAATTTTCGTGAATATGTATTAGATGTAAATAGGGGCTTGGGGTACATGAGATGTTTTGATATAAGCATGCAATGCATAATGATTACACCATGGAAAATGGGGTATCCATTCCCTCAATAATTTATCCTTCATGTTACAATCTAATTACAATATAAATATCTATATAAATCTGCATAAATAGTTCTAATTTTTGACGTTGCCTACCTTTACTTTTTTTAAAATCAGGAGTTAAACAATTAGAAGAGATGAATTCTCCAAGAATTGTGAAGACTCATTTGCCACCTGAACTTCTTCCAGCCTCATTTTGGGAAAAGAATTGTAAGGTAACTGGAGTCAAGTGTTCTCAAAACTTCATCAAACTCCAAGAAATGATAGAATGGTCTCATCAGTTATACACACTTGTTTATTTGTTTTTTCATTGATTCTATAAATGTTTAACAAGTGTGGAATACAACAAATGTAGAATACGACTCTGCCTTTTGCCAGGTGTGGTTCTAAAAAGTTCTGCTAAACTCCCTAAGACTAAGTTTTTACATCTGTAGAAGAAAGATAATAATAACATCTTTTTCATAGAGTTGTTATAAGGATTAAATGATAATGCTTGTAAAGAGCTTCACATAGTTCCTAGAATGTTGTCAACAATATCGTAGCTACTTTTGTATTTGTTGTTATTACTAATTGTAATTGAATTTCCTCCCTTTGAAAAACACTGTGCTTGGTGTTGTTAGGCATGCAAATGAACTAGAAAGGGATAGATCAGATAAGCATTGTATAATAACTATGTATTGAGGACTTGTTTTGTGTTAGGGACATAACAATAAGACACATGCAATCCTTGTCTTCAAGGACACAGTCCACTGGGGTAAAAGGACAAGTGGACTGTGAAAGAAGTATCATAGGTCAAGTAAGAGAGAGAAATTTAACTCAGACTCTGGGGGTAGTGAAGGCATCCAGGAGCAACATTTCAGCTGATATTTGAATGATGTATAGGAGTGATGCAAATTCAGAGATAATCTGAGTGAGCATCTGAAATCTGTTCAGTTTGGCTGGAAGATTAAGTATACATATACACTAAAAGGTAAAAGGAGATTAGCTATAAATTGATTATAACAAATATTGAAAGTCAAGTTAAGATGTTTGGACCCTTTCATTTTAATGGTAATGAGGAGTTATAGGCACACTAAGCTTATGATTTGTACTATCAGTTTTGCTTTTTTAAAATAGTATTATACATAACCTCAAAATACAGGGGAAACATGAAGTCTGAGACCACCAATTCTGTTCTTCAAAACGTTTCTACCACCAGGGCTGTTCTTCAAGATATTTGCAATTATCACTAACAAAAAAGGGGATATATCCCAGTCATAAAATATGATCATTTTGTAATCTGATACATGGCATATTTGACATTTCCTAGAGATCTACAGACAAAAATTTCAAAGATTTTCATGTTAGTTTGTTTTTATCGTTAGCAATCCTAGATAGACCGTATACATTCTGCTGAAGTTATTCCATATGTAGGGGCTGTCTCATTAGTAAACACCAGTTACTTACTTTCCAGGAGATGTGGCATTAATATTTATTAAGAGATTTGACCAAGACACTTTTTTCCTTTGGAGGATAGGTGGTGGACTTGCTGTTAACTCCTTACTTCTCAAATAGAAACAGGTACCATACATTTATAATAGTTCAAGTCTTCACAAAGCTGCCTATTTTTCAGAGGTTGTCAAAGAGTAGGAGATAGAGGGATTCATGTTTGGAGTATTTCCAGAGTGATTTACAGAGGAACAAAAAAACCAACAAATAGATGGAGGATATTTGTAAATATCCTTTTTCAAGTAGACAAAGGATATTTGGAGTGATGGAGCAGAGACTCTAACTGACAAAGAGAAGAAAGTGACAAAAAGTAACAGGTTAGTAGATAATATCAATAACTGAGACTGGTGGATTTGAGTCCTAGGTGTGATTATAGGAGAGGTATGTGGAATAACTGATGGGGAAGAAGGAAGAAGCAGGATTTCTTGAAAGAAAAGATTATGGGGGTCCAAAGTGGCTCCCGCCGGAGCTCATGGCGCTCGCGAAGGTGAGGTCATCAGTTCAAGGCTAACCTGAGCAACCTCATAAGCTCAAACTGATTGGCAAAAAAAAAAAAAAAAAAAAGAAAGAAAGAAAAGATTATGGCTCAGGATAACGCTTCAAAAGTGAAACCTTTATGGTGAAGGCATGATTCAGTATTTGGTTACAAAAGTGGTTGCCTGAAGTAACATAGAAGTAATGATCAGTGACTACATGAACATAGATAATCAAGTAGATCACACCTACAGACACTAAAATTACACAGACTAGAAAATAATTTGAATGGAGAGTGAAACCATGAGGCAGGTGTTCAAATTTTCAGTTAAAGCAAGGGAATGTCTGCAAACTTAGAAATGGCATCAGATTGAAGAGGTATAGAAAGTATCGTGAGAATAGGGATCTTTAAAGTGCAGAATTTTTAAGATAGATTATAATCACAAGTGAATCATTGGCAAACTAGTAACTTTGACTCAAGAGAGATGTAGTGCAAGGCTTATCTTCAGGAAAGAACTAGATTTCCCTTGAGGACAGAAAAATGAGTATGTACAGTAAAAAGTTTGGGGTATTGAATAAGATCTGCCAAAAGAAATACTATAAACTAATAGGGATTAGGGAAAGAGAGATCACTTTTTTCTATCTGGGAAAATAAAAAGCCTCATGGAGGACGAGGAAGCAAGGTATAAAATATAAATAGCATTTTGAGAAACAGAAAACATTCAAGAATAAGAGAATAAAACAAAGAAGACAAGGGACGAAAATTCTGAAGTAAATTAATGCATATATTGGCAAAAGGTTCCATTCAGTCAATAAATGATAAGAACTAGTTCTTTTAAATAAGATTGGAAAAGTTCAAATTCACTAATGATGAATTTTATATGAAAAAATTTTCACTTTTATTCTCTAGTATTTAGAAGCTTTTATGAGAGGGCCATAAAAACGAGAGCCATACATTTAAGAATAAGCTAGATTTCTATAAAACTGTCAGAAAATATCTTCAGTAAGACAATTTAGTAGGTTTAATCATATTCCATAAACAGTGGAGACTCCAGTAGTCTTTCATGACATTATTTAGGTGCCTGAGAGCCTAAGTAGAAGACCATATGGTTACTGGATTTTACTTTTGCAGATCTTTTCATGCATCATTCAGTATCAGACCTAGAGTAGACCACAGATAATGTGACCCAAATCATTTGTTGAGTAAAGAAAATATTTAGGTCCAAAATTGCTGGTACTTTGTATTCTTAGTGCCAAAACTAGAAACTAAAACCACTGCTTTCTGATAACTAATTCGTTGGTATTTATTCTGGATATAAAATGGAAACTAACAAGGTGCTGGCAGAGATTATATTTTCACTGAATTCAATGTGCATATAAATAAAACCTCATACACTTTTTTTTCCTGCAATATTGAAAGTGAAGAGACCTCAGAACTATTTTTTTAATTATGCAGGGTGGTGGTCTTATAAAGAGAAGAGCACCGTATAGCTGATTGACGGATATACCAAATGCTTTATTCTCATTGATTTAGTCTCAATGCCATATTGTTATTAAACTTCAGCTTTGTCTCTTCACTTATAAATTGGGAATAACAAATAATCTAACTGGCTTAATTAATACTGATGAATTTTACAACACTCAAATGAGGTATTATTTGTGAAAATAGCATAAAGACAAAGCTTGAGAACAAACAGAACACAACACTACAAAAACCACTGTCACCTCAGGTTACTGAAGATATATTTATAAATAATTGTACATGCTTTATGCATTTTGTAAAATGAATATGTACTATGTTTATAGTTGAAAATATAAATCTTTTTGTTAAAAATCTTGATGAGTGTGTTTGAAAAATATTAAGTGGTTTAATATACAATTTCATCCTCTCAGATGATCTATCTTTGCCGGAATGCAAAGGATGTGGCTGTTTCCTTTTATTATTTTTTTCTAATGGTGGCTGGTCATCCAAATCCTGGATCCTTTCCAGAGTTTGTGGAGAAATTCATGCAAGGACAGGGTATGAACAGCTTCTTTACTCTGAATTTTTTTTCAAGATGCTACAAGACAAATGCCATCTCTGACTAAAAGTTTTTATTTGTTCTGGTATGTTTTCTTCCATGATTCATACTTAAAACACAGAAATTCTAAAGGTGCCTTGAGATTTACAGCAAGCATAAGGTGTCCAGATGTAGATGGCAAATTGCAGAGTCAGAGCACTCTGGTCCAACACATAAAAATAAATATATGGAAGTATGTTTTGGGGCAGGGGGTAGCAATTGTACTCTCCATGATTGAGACTCACTGTCTGATTTTTTGCCTTGTGTATTTTTAGTAGAAAAAAAAGTGTTTTACATCAAGTTATTACAACTCTATTGAACAAGGGATCATGGAAAGATTAGAGAAGAGAGAATGTCCATTTGTTTCCAATAAAATTGTCAGGTTCTATATGAATCTGGAATTCACAAAGAAGTTTGACTATTTACAAAACTTCCCCATTCTACTCAGTGTGCAATCTGAATATTTTAGCCAGATTTCTCAAATTTGTCAAGAATTACTTGAGCAGATATTCTGGAAAATTTTTCCTTTTTATTAAACACTGTGACTAAAGTGTTTAGATTTGAGGAAGAAAGGGTGCAGGATAATCTAGTACTTACTAAAGAAGGCCATTCTGATCATGTAGTAACCATTATAAAGAAAAATAATAATGTGTTTTTATATCCACAGATGATCATATTGACTCAATAAAGTAAGGTATATATGTGCTTGTCTAGTATTTACTAAAGAAGGCCATTCGTCCACTTTGGTGATAGTTTTCTGGGAAGCAAAGGAAAAAGAAAAAAAAAAGCCCTTCTGATCATGTAGTAACCATTATAAAGAATAACAATAATGTGTTTTTATATCTACAGATGATAATATTGACTCAATAAAGTAGGGTATATGTGTACTTTGTATTTGCTGCTACATTTCGGGAAAATTTTTGCTAAAGCATAATGAATAAAATATATTCCTTAAGATTGTCAAGACCTGCACTGTATGGCAGAGAAACCTAATTTTGCATCACTACAAAGGGATAAATGAGATCACTACAAATTTCATTGTAGAACTTTTTTTGTAAACAAAAAATTCCCCAATGGAGTCAAAGAACAGAGGAGGTACACAATGACTTAAGGCAAAGCAGAATGTTTTGACTCACACAACATTATATTACTTTGTCAGCTTTATATTTTATGAAACACTTTTAGTATGAGTGAGGGAAGAGAAAAAGTAAGAGATGGCATTTGGTTATATCACATCATTTCTAAAATCTAATTTCCTGGGGTGAGAATGATGTGAGAGTACCTAGGAGAACATGCCTTAACATGTAAACTAATAGTGTAATAAATACATGGTTACTATTTTAAGTTGCCAATCTAGTTTGTAAATGATAAATTGGAGACCAGAACTATACTCTTTTATCAGACCACTAATCGTTTCACTAAGTTAACTCCCTTCACTAACAACTTGATTTTACACATACACACACATACCCACACATCAATCTCAACAATTTTCTCCTAAGTTTTAAATCAAATTGTTGACAGAACTTTCACTACTCTGTTCTGCCATAAACTATGTCACATGATAAAAGTCACATTATTTTTACATACGTAGATTATTTAACGTACTTTGCCTCTCTTGCTGCAGAGAACTTTGCTTAAGATATATAACTTATCTATTTTTTATTTCATGATTATCTATTTACATTTATTTGTTGCTATTGTTTCTTGGACAGTAGTTTGCAAGCAGTTATAGAGATGATATCACTTTTACATTGTTTTTCTCTTTAATTTTAGTTCCTTATGGTTCCTGGTATAAACATGTAAAATCTTGGTGGGAAAAGGGAAAGAGTCCACGTGTACTTTTTCTGTTTTATGAAGACCTGAAAGAGGTGAGGAACTGGAAATGTATAAGCAACTTGGCAATTTCTAAGATGTTAGCATTTGAAAGTATTTGGGGTACAAAAATCTTCCTTTAAATAAATATTGATAGCCATCTAAATTTTTAAAAGGACCAAAATAATCCAGATACTTTAACATAGATTTGAAGCTAGCAAATAAAAATATTACAAAAGTGAATACATTTTAAACCACAAGTCTCAAAAATTTCAAAGACAAAACTTGAAAGAACTTGAGTTCATTAAGCAATAGCAGCACACACACACAGACACACACACATTCACACATGAGGAATTAACATGGGCAAGTAATTAACTGGTATTCAAATGTAGAGATGTTGCAATAGTTAGATAGGTACTATAAAATGACCATGCTTAATATGTTTAAATAAATAAAGGATGAAATTTAAAAAATTACAAAGAAACAAAAGTTATTAAAATTGACAGAGTGGATTTGATGAAATAGCCAAATACAATTTCTAAAAATGTTTAAAAAATAAATATGGAAAATTAAGAGATGAGTTTCATAATAGATTAGACATGGCTACCTAGTGAATTTTTGAAGTAAAAGATGGAGCTAAGGAAATTCCGTAGAAGGTAGTACAGTGAGATAAATGGACCATTTGATGACAAGTAATGGTTCTTACTAAGTATTAGCATTTAAAAATTAAGAAAGTGATTGGTATATAAGATACAATGATAAGGTCTCACATATATTAACTTAAACTTCCAGAAGAAGAATATAAAGAGAATGCTGAGATATCAATACACACATTTTTTATGGACTTAAAATTTTCTCATAATAGAATTTTTCTTTGTTAATATAATTCAAAATAAAAATCACTATGAGACACCCATTTTACACCCACTACACTGATAACAGTTTAAAAATCTGACAGCAAGAAATATTAGAATGTGAATCAGTGAAAAGAAACCCACTGTCGAAAGTATCATAAACAGAAACATTGTGGAAACAACTTGTCATTATCTAGCAAAGGCAAACATATCTGAAGTTTAAGACCCTGAAATTTTACTCTTAGATATATACTCTAGAAAAACTCTGGCTTATGTGCATTAGGTTATATAAACAACAATTTTCACAGAAGCATTCTTCATAACCACAAAAATTGAAAACAACCCAGATAGACATATACCGAAGATTCAATATATAATTTATTTTATTGTATTGCAATTATATATTATATTGTAATGAAAGGGAATACACTTTAAAAACACAAATCAGTTAGGTAAAACCAAACTATATGTTGTCTAGGGATACATACCTCACTTTGAAAACTATAAAGTAGAGCAGATAATTTGAAATTAGCAATTTTTTGTCTATTTTTTCAGTTGTTTTGCTTTTGTGGATGGGAGTAGATGGTGAAAGAAATTTAAAAAAAAAAACCCTAAGAAAGCTGTGAATGTTCTATTCCATAAGTTGGGAATTAGGTAATAGGAGCTGTACATAATTTTATTCTTTCAATGAGATATATACATATAACTCATAAATTTTTAAAAGATAGAAAAAATAATGAGTTTCTTTATTAAGAGGTGAGAAATTTTCTCTACTCTTTAAAATCCTTCATAGTATTTCAGTAATTTTAGAGTTGTTTTGGTGAGCATTTATTTAAAATAAAATCATAAACAGCATTTCATAAATTAATTTCTTTATAGAAGTTAACACTGTATCAGATTTGAAAAAGAAAAGCAGCCATGATGTACAGTTTATTATATTATCTAATTTTCTCTTCCATAACCAGACTATTAATGACAGAGAATTTGAAGTACACACAGACAAAGTTCAATAGTTACTCTAACTTTCCTCCTCCATTCCAAATTGTCCATGCCTACTTGCTCCCTATTTTGGCCAGTAATGGCCATGTTTAGGTCCTCTATATTTGAATCAATAAGAAGGCTAAGAATATACAAATTAATTTTAATTATTTCTACAATGTATCCAGTAGAAAGAAAACAAGGCATTAACACTATATACACACAGATATCTCTATATACAAGATTATGTGTATATATTATGTACATGCACATATATATGAGATATCCGTTTTACACCCATATATGCACAGAATATATTTTTCTTATGTTTAAGGCATCTTCTTTTTAATTCTAAATTTTAATTTCTATGGGTACATAGTAGGTGTATATATTTATGGGATACATGACTTATTTTTAAACAAGCATACGATGTGTAGTAATCACATCAAGCTAAAGGAGGTATTCATCACCTCAAGCATTTATCATTTCTTTGTGTTACAAACATCCCAGTTATATTATTTTAATTATTTAAAAATGTACAATAAATTAATATCAACTGTAGTCACCATGATGTGCTTTCCAATACTAGATCATTCTATCTAGCTCTATATAGTACCTATTAAATATCCCCAGTTCCCTTTTGAGTAAGATAGACAAGTAAATAAAACATTACAAAAATGCACATGTGGCAAATTAGATTTATTTAAACATTTATGGGAGCAAAATAGGATCATCTACATAAAATTAGAATAGCCAAGAATATTATCCCAAAGAAATTGATAGATAAGCTGAAGTGTAAAAGGTGAGCTATATTATATTAAGTAGAGAATTTAGGAAAAGTGTTTGGCATAGAGAGAAACGTGAACTTGAATACATTGCGGTTGGTCTTGCAAATAGTTGCACTGAGTGATATAGCTGAATAATGGGGTATATTATAGGAGCGGCATAGAGATTGGGATGTATGTAGCTCTGGTGCACGGACACTTGATGTTGCATTGTATTTAATTTTTTACACCTTTTCTTAATCTTTCTGGTTTGTTTCTCATTAATTACACCAATAAATTAGGAGAAAAATGAAAGTTAATTGCATATTCTTATCCCCCAAACTGATTTTTCACAGGAAACTTTAGGTTTTGAATGTGTATATTTATTTGCATTCATAGATAATATCTATTAATTGTGATTATGCATCAAGGACTATAATAAGCATTTACAGACATTATCTCATTTAGTGTTTTGAATAATCTTTAAAGTATCTTTTATAAACATTTTATGGATGAGAAAAATTATACTTTTCTTTATTGTACTTTAGGTTCTGGGGTACATGTGTAGATCATGCAGGATTGTTGCATGGGTACATACATGGCAAGGTGGTTTGCTGCCTTAATTCTTAAAATAGCTTTTATCAAATTCCCCAAAGACTGTTTTTTTTTTCTCATTATAGATCTAATTATAATATCAGTAGGAGAAAAGAGAAGGGAACATTTTCTCTCTTTCATTTCGATATCGATTTATTCTGCTTTAGCAATTTTAGCAATTTACTTCTCAGAACATTTTCTCTCCCTAGAATACCAGAAAAGAGGTGATAAAATTGATACATTTCCTGGAGAGGAAGCCATCAGAGGAGCTTGTGGACAAGATTATACATCATACTTCATTCCAGGAGATGAAGAACAATCCATCCACAAATTACACAACTCTTCCAGACGAAATAATGAACCAGAAAGTGTCGCCCTTCATGAGAAAGGGTGAGAAAGTCATGCAGTTTGCCTGGATGCTAGAGGAAGATACAGGGTGATATGGTTATAGGCAAAAATCTAGTGAGGTATTTTAATGCCTATGGGCCCAGCTTAAGTTTCCTTCAGCAGTCTCTCACATTTGGACACCTTCTTTAAGTTACACTTCTACTATACTGCAATTACCTATTGATTATTTAGTATGTGCATCATATTATATTAAAAACAACCAGCAGACATCTCAATCTCAGTGTTAGAAATAATACCATACCCTATTAGCTGTCATTTACCAAGGCTGTGTGCCTCAGTGCTACAACATATATCATATAGTTCTTTTAAGTTCTAACCAGAAATTCCACAGAAAGATTTTATTTCTTTCTCTTTTTGATTTGAAGAAATAAGGTTAGAATAGTTTGTCAACATTTTTTTTAACAAGTGGCAAACACCTTTCAAGGGTAAGTGGCAAAAAATAGAAATTTAAATATAGCTCTGTTCAGCAAAGTTATCAACATATAAGGAGAAAAAAAATTCTGTTTGGAAGGAGGCACAGCCTGATGAGATATAGCCAGTTAACAAATTTAAAGGCATGTAAGACACTTAGATGTTTACTGTGAGGAAGCAAAACCAAACAGAATAGAAACAAATCTTACTCTTTGAACCATATTGTCAGTGACAGAGTCAGGAAAATTTTAAAATAACAGAAATAACAAACCTGGCACTGGAAAAAAAGTAGGGAGCCACTGAAGAGGGAATCAATTCTCAAATTATATTTTAATTATGTATTCTTTTGATTATCTATTTCCTTTTTCAAAATTCTACATATAAATATCACAGAGGACTTAAAACAGTTGTCATACCTGCAAACAGTGGCTTGCTGCTATGCGCTCAGACCCTATCTGATGTTTTAGGATATACATTTTGTTCTGGTTTTGGGTTATTTCAGTGAGAAAGTTTAGAGCTCCTTGAGCTAGAGGGCAAGTGAACTCTTGGCTAGTCTAAAAAAGAAGGTGACTTCCTTCTGCAAGGTGAGTGTTGGAAGTGTGATGGAAAGCAAAACAGGTGAACCTTTCTGGACTACTGTAATTACCCAGATGGGAAACATTCTCAAGCTGGCAGTAGCAGGAGAAGCAGTTAAGAAGCAGTAGATACAAAGATAGCCTAAATATAAATAATAAATTAGATGTTGTGGTTGAGGGAATAACATCCAAGATTATATTTGGATACCTGTGTTGTTGCCACTACACAGGTCATTAAAAAGTAATTGGACAAAACACAATATGATAAGGCATAAAATGAATTTATTTTTAAACTAATTTAATTTGAAAAAGTTGGACAACTTCCAGGTGGCAAAGTCATGTAGGCAGTTGTATATAAAGCATAAGTCCGGATTTCAGTGCTATCAGCCTTAAGATGATATTTAACACCTTAAGAGTGGGTAAAACATGGATCTTATCCTGGGATTCCCAACAATTGAGATGACACTTGAGAAGAAAAGAATGATAAAGTAAGTGGCATAAGAAGAAAGAATCATAGAATTAAATATGCTAGTTTTAAACAAATTAAGACAAATCCGTCTTTGTAAGCTCAAATAAGTATATTAATAATGGTATACATTTTATTCCTAAAATTGAGAATTACAAGTATAATATTTGATTAGGTGTTAATGAAAGTGATAAAATTAGCAAACCTAATGATTCCTTTGTGAAGACCTAATATTTATTGTACTTTCTTTTTTTTTACAGGAATTATAGGGGACTGGAAAAATCACTTTACAGTAGCCTTGAATGAAAAATTTGAGAAAAATTATGAGGAGCAAATGAAGGAATCTACACTGAAATTTCGAACTGAGATCTAAGAAGGCTTTTCTTAATATATCTGATTAAATATTTCATTTTATTATTCTTCACGTTTTCTTATTTTGGATTGCTATAAAATACATAATCAAGGGTTATGTTGACATTTTCTTCTTAAATTTTTAACAATTTTTTTTTTGAGACAGAGTCTCATGCTGTTGCCCCAGCTAGAGTACAGTGAAACAATCATGGCTCATAGCAGCCTGGATCTCCTCAACTCAAATGATCCTCCCACCTCAGCCTCCCAAGTAGCTAGAACTACAGGCATGTATATGCATGCTTGGCTAATTTTTTTAAAGTTTTTTTCTAGAAATGAGGTCTTATTATATTGTTCAGGCTGGTCTTGAATTCCGGGGCTCAACCCTCCCAAGTAGCTGCAGCATCAGGCTCACATCACCATGCTCAACTAATTTTTATTTATTATTTATTTATTTTTGTATAGATAGGGGCTTGTTATATTGCCCAGGCTGGTCTCAAACCCTTGAGGTCAAGTGATCCTCCCACACAAGCTGCCCAAAGTATTGGGATTATAGGCATGATCCATCATGCCTGGCCCAGGTTACATGTTTATTGAGCTGCACATATATACAAAAAGTAAGAAACTTTTTTCCCTACTATCATCTCTTAAATTTTGTTTTATTTCTTTTTCTTTTTCTTCCTCATCTTTTCTACTTTTTATAAATATTATGCACAACTACAACCTATGAGAATAATGTTGTAACACAGGTGATTCATCTTGTTAGAGCTGTATTAAAAATAAACAAGCATTTCAGATTATTTTTGTGATTGATTTTTTCCATTTAGTAGGACATAAGTATTATATATATATGTATATATAATTATATATATTGTATATAGTATTATATATATAGTTATATATATTGTATATAGTATTATATATATGTTACATAAACTTTGAAGACTAGAAGTATGAAAGAATATATAAATTGGGGGCATAAATATATCTATTATTTTCTTATTTTCTTTTACTTTTTTTCTACTTTAATTTATTTATTATACTTTAATATAATAAACACTTTAATAAAACTTTATAGTATGGGATTTTCCCACATCATAACATAAATATACAAGAATACATGCTGATATAAATAAATGATTAGTTAAATAATTAAATGCAGTAAATAAATATCCCATACAGAAGAATTTCACCTATTTGTATACAGTTTCCCATTCAATTCCTTAAGTGTGAGATTTATATAGGGACTTTCTTATAAAGAAGGAAGAGTGCTGTATGAGGGGAAGAGTAACTTAAGAGTGGAGAAAGCTGCTCAGTCAGGTAATTCCCCTCTTGTATATAACTGATTACCTAATCATGTTGATCACCTTCTACATCCTGCTCCCTATCAGACCTCTGGTCTCACTGCCACTTTCACATTCTCCAGGCATGCTGCTGTCTGCTAGGCCCCTGAAACTCCTTAACCCCTTGTCATGCTACCATTTTCAAGGAAACAAAGGGAAAGAAAAAGAAAAGAAAAAAGGAATTTTCACTTAGTTTTAGGTCTAATGTCTTCAGGCTTCAATAAAAAGTACAGCGTCTTAAAAGACCTCCTCCTGCTCCCTTTGCTGGCACCTAGAGTTCAACTTTTATCTTCATAAGCCAGCGATTCTGAAAGGTTCTGCTCCACCTCTCAGGAAACTTCTGAGAAATCAGAAAATATCTTCATTGGAATAGTAAGGTTTAACTCACCGGAATTCTTTCAGAATTTTGGCCCAATATTTAAAAATTTTCTTCTCAGTTCACCAAAATGAAATAAGCTTAAAGTAAGCAGAATAAAGTTAAAAATAAAAACAGAAATAAACTTGATACAGGAAAACAATGGAGAAAATTAATGAATTCAAAAGCTAGCTCTCAAAAAAGATTAATGATATTAATAAACTTCTACAAAGACTGACAAAGATGGAAAGACAAAGAACACAGATCACTAAAGTCAGCAATAAATAAGAAATAGAACCACAGGTTCTACTATCAGTGAAAGGAAAATAAGAAGTCTAAGACCAGGTGCCCACTTAACTGTGAAAAAAATATTCATTGGTGGCATTAAAGAAGACACTGAAGAACATCACCTAAGAGATTATTTTGAACAGTGTGGAAAAATTGAAGTGATTGATATCATGACTGACCGAGGCAATGGCAAGAAAAGGGGCTTCGCCTTTGTAACCTTTGATGACCATGACTCCCAGGATACGACTGTCATTCAGAAATACCATACTGTGAATGGCCACAACTGTGAGTTAGGAAAGCCTGTTCAAAGCAAGAGATGGAGAGTGATTCATCCAACCAAAGAGGTCGAAGTGGTTCTGGAAACTTCGGTGGTGGTCGTGGAGGAAACTTTAGTGGTCTGGTGGCTTTGGTGGCAGCCATGGTGGTGGCAGATATGGTGGCAGTGGGGATGGCTATAATGGATTTGGTAATGATGGTGGTTATGGAGGAGGTGGCCCTGGTTAGCCCCTATGGTGGTGGCTAACCACGAAACCAAGGTGGCTGTGGCGGTTCCAGTAGCAGCAGTAGCTATGGCAGTGGCAGAAGATTTTAATTAGGAAACAAAGCTTAGCAGAAGAGGAGAGCCAGAGAAGTGACAGGGAAGCTACAGGTTACAACAGATTTGTGAACTCAGCCAAGCACAGGGCCTAGCTGCTACAAAGAAGACATGATTTAGACAAATACTGATGTGTATGGGCAAAAACTCAAGGACTGCATTTGTGACTAATTGTTTAACAGGTTATTTTAGTTTCTGTTCTGTGGAAAGTGCAAAACATTCCAACAGAGGGTTGTAATACAGATTTTTTTTTTTTTGCACACATGCCTTTGATTGCTAAATGTAATAGTCTGATTGTGATGTTGAATAAATGTCTTTAAAACAAAAAACTTCATGGTGGTAACTTTGACAATTTAGAAAGAATGGACCATTTCCTCAAAAACCATATACTACCTAATTCTTACAAGATGAAATAGATAACCTGAATAGTCCTATAACCATTACACATATAACAAAATTCTTTTGGAAAAGAATTCCCAAAGCCTAGATGGCCTCAGTGAATTTTGTGAAACATTAAAAAACAAAAGTCACCTAGTAATGGTAACGATACCTGTCTTAAAATATTAAAAACTGGCCAGGAGCAATGGCTTACACCTGTAATCCCAGCACTTTGGGAAGTCTAGTTGGGAGATTCACTTAAACCCAGGAGTTTAAAACTAGCCTGAGCTATATAGTGAGATGCTATGTCTACTATGTATGTATAACTGGTTTGAGATTCTTATAATTTTTCATATAACCAATATTTTTCTATTATGTGGTTACTTTTTGTCTTTAGATTTTGAATCATGATGCTGACAAGTGGCAATGTTTTTAAATTTTCAAGTTTATCAATCTGTACAATAATGAATTTGAAGTTGAAGATGAAACCTCTCATTTAACAAAATATGAAGAAATAGTTGTATCTTCATCCTTCCTTGCTGGGAACATTGAGGATCCCTTGGTGGTGACTGGGCAACCTCAAGTTTCTGGAAGAATTGGCAAAACCCAACCTATCTGAAATAAGAAATTGTTGTTGATTTTTAACCTGTAAATTCTCTTAGAATTTGCTTTCCCTGAAATGAGTTATTTGCTTTCTGATGCTTGTTACTTACTGTATTGATTATATTTGAGAAAATGAAGAATAATGTGAAAAGCTGAGCTTTAACGTGTAACTTTGGCTCTGCTGAAGCTGTAACTTGTAACTTTGGCCCTGCTGAGCTGTTCTTGTAAAAATAGGAACCCTGTTTAAGGAACAAACTGCTTAGCTTGACTGCCGAGAGAGATGACAGCATGTAATAAGTTTCTCATTGCAGAGAGCCTGTAAACAGACGTGTAATGGAGAGGCTTATTACCTAGATTCCTTTCCCAGGAAAGGCATACTGATTATGGCCCTGGAAAGGGAATGCCACCCTTATGGAGAGTCTATAAACAGACACACTAGGGGCATCTGTCATGAGGAAAAACCTCTGTGGTTGAGAGAGGATATAAAAGTCTTTCTTCTCCCGCTGTTCCTCCAGGCCTGCATGGAGGCCCCCTTCTCTTGCAGTTTTGTGGTCAGGCTGGTTGTCCTGTGTCAGATCCTGTTCCCCCTGCAGCTGTGAGCCCAGTGTGTTCTTGCTGATAATCATAAGTTTATGTTTAACCTCTATTCTTGCTAAGGTGTATGATTTCTATGCTGACACACAGAAAAGTTATCTTTACATTGTTCTGCTTTTATAATACCAAGTTGTGATTTTTGTGCACCAGTATTTGCAAATGTATTCTTTTGTATTATCATTTCCACACTGTTGTGTAGCCTCACTCCCCCTCCCCTATTGAAAGAGTCTAATAAAATACTGTGGTTTTCAGGGGAACTTTAGACATCCATGGAGCAGCATTATGTGGTGTCTCCCGTGGGCCCAGCTTTAAGAAAAACTGTTTCTTTGTCTTTTTTTCCTTTTTCACCAACCACTTGATCACTTTGAGAGATCTTGAATCCATGTTGATATATTGGGAGCGGGTCTTTCCAATGCTTCCTGAATATCCTAAATACTTTCTTTGACTCCATAAAAAGATCTTGATTAATTTTTTATTTTTTTTTTTTGAGACGGAGTTTCGCGGTTGTTAGCAGACTGCAGTGCAAAGGCATGATCTCGGCTCACTGCAACCTCCGCCTTCTGGGTTCAAGTAGTTCTCCTGCCTCACCGTCCCGAGTAGCTGAGATTACAGGCATGCGCCACCATGCCCAGGTAATTTTTGTATTTTTAGTAGAGACGGGGTTTCACCTCGTTGACCAGGATGGTCTCGATCTCTTGACCTCGTGATCCATCCACCTCGGCCTCCCAAAGTGCTGGGATTATAGGCGTGAGCCACCGCGCCCGGCCTAATATTTTTTTTCTTATCATCTGCTTCAGGGAAAAAACCAAAAAAACTTAATAATTATTATTATCATTGATATTTTATCAATTTTGTGTCAGGGATTGTTCCAAATGCTTTATTCATTTCATTGCCACAACTCTTCAATACAATAGAACATAAAGTTATTCCCATTTTAATAATTATGACAAAGAAAATCTATACAATTTATATAAATTATCCAAAATCACACATGGAAAGTCCTTGTGAAAACCTGGTCCTAGACCCATAGTAGATACTCCATAAATGGTCATTTCTGCATTTGTCTAAACCCTACCTACTTTTATTTGGAGACATGGAGGGTCTCGCTCTATCATGCAGGCTACAATACAGTGGCACAATCATAGCTCACTGCAACCTCAAACTCCTGGGCTTATGTCATCTTCTCACCTCCACCTACCAAGTAGCTGAGACTGTAGATACATGCTACCATGCTTTGTTCAACCTTGACCTAGTGTTTATTTTACAAAATAGAAAACTTTTGGCTAATTGTTTCATAACCAACTGTTTGATATTGTCGATATTTCAATCTCCAACTTAAAATTTCAGATAAAACCGTATTATCATAATAAAAGCATGATGATGGAAAAACAACATTATTAAGGAAACAAAAAATAAATTAATACAGACACACAAACACATATATACAAAATTATATTTTAATAAACATATACACTTTACTTTTGAAGTATGTTTCATTTAGACTGCAAAACAAAGCAAGAAGATCTATTATGAATCAGAGTTTTATATGCATGCTGTCAGGAAGGAAGATAATGATCTAATCAATCTCTTTCATTGGGAGCTGTTTCTGAATATTATAAGGCCCCCGGGATTCCAGATGGAAAA